CGGACTCCGAGACCATGGAGCTGGTCCGATCGTTCGTGGGACTCGAACGCGACGCGGACCTGAAACGAGCCATCCAGGGCAGATACTACCGGGAATTGCAGTCCCAGCTCTTACAAAAGCTTCCCGATTTTCGGCACTCGGAGGGTGCCGTTAAAGCCAAGCTCAAGCGCATGCAGAGCAATTTTTACCGGCTGCAGGACCGGCTGGAACAGTCGGCCGTTAGTCAGACCGGTAGACGGACCGACCCGTTGCCGGAGTGGTATGTGCTGATGGATCCGGTGATGAAGAAGGATGCGCCCGGCGACTGGCGGCGGGCTTCAACGGCGAATTGGCCAAGGGCTCGTCTAGCTCTGACGTCGAGACCGAGAGGTACGATTGAGAGGTACGATTGAGAGGTACGAGAGGTACGATTGAGAGGTACGATTGAGAGGTACGAGGACTTGTCCGTTGTTCTTGGGTTTTTTTCCCCCCTTCTTTTCCCCATCGCAAAAAGTGCAACGTTAGCGGATCGTTTACGCCATTCGAAGCTGGCCGCATAGTCGGAAATCGTCCGCCAGGTGTTCGCCAAGTGTTTTTTTCCTGTTTCGTTTAACGTAAATGGTTTGCGAGTCTTCCGCGAATGAGTTGTTTCGCGAATGAGTTGTTTTGTAAATGTTACACCTTGATAATAATCTTGTTCTGATGGCTTATATTTCCATACAGAATCGGTCAGTCTACACTAAAACTTGTACAAAGTTTATAACATCGATCCGGGGAAGCTGAAATGTTAAAATAAACGAATTGTGTGTTTATGATATTTTTATGATAGTAAACGTACTACTACTTCTAATTTGGGCAATGTCTTTGTAGAAACAGCAAGTGCAAAGTAAGGTATTGATCTCTTCAAGAGATAGTTTTATTTTGTTCCCCTCAAGATTCGAACTCGGATCTTCCAACTGTGCTACGTGCAAAAATTACTCAAAAACGAGGTTCTCCCAGGGATCGAACCCGACTCTTCACATGTGTAGATTATGACTTACTATCTGCAGTGCGTATCTACTTTATATTTAAATGTTTTAAAATGTAATATTTAAAATTGGTTTTGTTGCTGGTTTCACTACCCTGCTTCCAACTGCTTATAAGGTCGTAGTCCAACAGAATCGCGGTTCCAATCCAGCTAGACAAAATTTTGAGATACCGAACTGAACCAAATTGAATCGCAAATTACAGCGTATTCTAGCGCGCGCGTAACCTGAAATCCAGAAATATTTGCTTAATATTTGTGTACATGGAAACACGCCCCGATTCACAACATGACGTGCATATAGAAACACGCCCCAACCACACTCCCACCCCCTACCATACCTGCACTTTGTTCCAACCAATCCCAACCCAATTTCCCTAACCAACTCAGCCCATGCACCTCGCCCAACCAATCGAAATCGGCCGAGCGATTCCAGCACGGCTAAATCCAGCTCAACCCCCTGCTCGCCCCAACCACCCAGCCCACCACGTTGCACACTTCACATGCCAGCAATCCTTGCCAGCACAGACTTCTGATCCTTCCTTATCTGCCCCCTTGCGCCCACTGATGTCTTTCAGCTAGACTTTTCTTACAGTATTATTCATCGGCAGTTCAATCTGTATCAGTTTCAGCCCCCCCTCTTGCCTTCGCACCCCCTTAGTGATTAGCTTCTTCCTCTGCCAGACTTTAACCAGTTACCATGGTCGTTCTTGGTTTACGATAACATGAGTATGTCATTTCGCGATAGCTGTTATTTCTATCGTTTTAATCTTCTGGTACTAATTAGCTTGTAAGTGGCTATTGTTGTTCACAATTGTCCTTCTTATTGGCAGGTTCATGAGCTAATACGTCTTCGGGGTTGAAGGCATTTGTTAACTGGAGTTTCTATCTAACTATGTTTTGCCTGTGTGCTCACGATGCTCGTCTTTATCGCAGCTAGCCATGTAACTCAGTCCAGCATAAAGATTATTCTTCCGGTAAGCACGTCTCTTAGTCTCGCCAATCGTTTATTCGTCGGACTAATTTCACGACAATGTCTAAGCTGACGTGCAGAGATTTGTAGCCAACCTCGAGGCACCCCTCGTAAGCCTCGTGTTGAAAGTCTGGTTGTTTGGAATTTAACAAATGGTTGAACCTGATGCGCAGGAATTTATTACCAAGGCCGCGCTACTTTCCCAGAGTAAGAATTGTTATTATGTTGGTAATTTGGACATTGGGCTTACTTTGAAATGAATTCTTACTTCACATGCAGGAATAGCAAGTCGGCGTCAAGAATTTACGTTGTCGGCAACGTCGTTGGTGTGCCGCCGCTCTGTTTCTGTTCGTGGTAGTGCGGGACGGGCATGCTGCATACGTTATTAGGTTGTTGGGGGCTTGCATATTTCTAGGTAATTAGGTTGGTAACCACTGGTAGAAATTGTGTATATCGTTTGTAATGGTGGTACATTTACTTTTATGAATAACATCATTTGATACACCAATGGTCAACAGAACAAAAAGAATGGATGGCAAGAATGCAAAATCATTTTCATACAAATCCAAAGCAGCATCAAAATATGCATTGCAATGCATTTGACGAAACACTATATTGCATTCGAGACAACACCGCCCATCGTTTCCGAATGCTCGCGCGGAGTGTTTTGGCAAATGTTGTCCAAGCATTCGCAAAGTGTTCGAATCTTAGTCCGCACGGTATTTACACCCACTTGTTCGCAAAACGTTTGCAAAGCATCCGCACAGATAATTCGCGAACGTTTTGCGAGCACACCTTTTTTGCGATGCCCTTCTAAAGATTTGTGTTTTTGTCCCTGTAATATCAACACCTGTGTTGCTGGTTCCAAAAGAAACGTTGTGTGCTTTTTTAGTGTTTTCAGAAAGGCTCTGTTGTCCTGCATGAAATGATGAGGTTGGGACTTGTTTTGTTCACAATGCGTTTCTTGAAACTTCTTAGTTGTATCTTGACTTATGACCACTGAAGAACTCATATATCCTGTGTCCCCTATGCCCTATCCCACATCTTCCGGGTGTATTTTGAGTCGACTCATGGATCCTGTGTCTCCTATCGCTTATCTTCCGTTTTCAGGTCAGATCACAGCAGCAGCAGCGGATAAGATGGCACAAGGCAATTCAACCGGTCATGACTCAGCTCCATCGAATGACACTCCAGCATATCCTTTCCCCGCTCTTGTGAGCTTGCCAACTGCAGCAGGCCCGAACACGTGGCAACACGTGGCCTTACCACCCTTATTTGCTCGTGAGTCATCAGCCGGGTATGCACGGACTACAGCAGCAGTTGCAGCACGTTTGCCAACTGCAGCAGGCCCAAACACGCTGCAGCATCATGGGGCTTTACCACCCTCGTCTGCAGCAGTTCCGGCCCTCCTGAACTTGCCGACTGCAGCAGCAGTTGCAGCACCCTCGACAACAGCAGCATTCCCAAACACGCTGCAGTATGTGGCTCCAACACCCTTGTTTGCTCGGGCGTCATCAGCAGTGCATGCACGGACTACAGCTGCTACAGCTGCTGCACCGACTACAGCTGCAGTTGCAGCACCCTCGACAACAGCAGCAGGCCCGGACACGCTGCGGTATGTGGCATCAACACCCTCAGCAGCTCGAGAGCCATCAGCAGTGTATATGGCAACTACAGCACCATCAGCACTATCAACACCATTAGCACCATCAGTACCAGCACCACCAGCATCACCATCAGCAGTCCCTGATCTAGCTGCTGGCGAGCCTGGATCAAGCTACCTGCAGGCGCTGCGTGCCGCCACTATCGCACCCTCTGCTCGAGGGGATGGGCTGATGGCTCCCCCTTCTGCTCAAAATGGCAGACTCATGCCCTACCCTTCTGCTGTTCCTGGCGAGAGGCCGGCCTCTCCTACTCCTCAAAACGGTAGACGGATGTCGCCCTCTTCTGCTCAGGAACAGAGGCGGGTGGCAGCAGCAGCTGGTGGGATTCATGGGCCGCCTCAAGAAGGGGAGCGGATGGCTGCGCCTGGTGGGTTGATGGGCTGGAGGGGCAGCAAGCGGGGATGGGCATGGCGACGAGAGAGGGACTCGTTTGCAGCGGATTCCGAGGCTGGCAATGCAGACCACATGGCTGGCGGCGATGCGGACTACGGGGCGGCGGCTGACAGCCTGGGTGCGGCGATGGAGGAGGCGGTGGAGAGTGCGTTTTTGGATTTCCAAGGGATGGCGCAGGAGTGGGTGGAGAGCGCGTGTGCTGAGTTTGAGTGCCTCGTGGGGGAGATGGCGGAGAGAGCGTGCTTCCAGTTCAGGAGCGCTGCGAGAGAGTTTGCTGGAGCGTGGAAAGCTGGGCGGGAATTCAAGAGGAGGAGGTATTGATCGGGATGGCAGTGGGTGGGTGGGAGTGGGTGGGCTGAGCCTGAGGGTGATGCACATCAGCTCAGTGATCCCTCTTGGCGTGCTTCCAGTTCAGGAGTGCCGCGAGAGAGTTTGCTGGGGCGTGGAAAGCTGAGCGGGATTTCAAGAGGAGGAGGTATTGATAGAGATGGCAGCGGGAGTGAGTGCCAGTGGGAGAGATTCGCCCCCCTGATTCAGGCTCCTGCTATGGGTGCGAATTCACGGACCCAGGGATCAACCCTTCCTTGTGCTGCGCTGGATTACAAGAGGAGGTACTGATAGGGATGGCAGTGGGAGTGAGTCACCTGCCTGAGTCACCTGCCTGAGTCACCTGCCTGCTTCCAGGCTCCTGCTATGGGTGCCAATTCACGGAATTCACGGACCCAGGGGTCAACCCTTCCTCGTGCTGCGTTGGATTCAAGCAGCGAAAGGCAGACCTGCCTTAAATCACTACCGTACCATCGTTCCCATCAGCCAGTCCACGCGATCCACGCGGCGAACCTGCCAGAACAAAATACCAGTGCACATGACAGTCCGCCTGTAAGTAGGTTCGTTTTTAGTGGAGTCAACGAAACTACTTAGGGCGTTTTCCTACAGGAAAGTGCTCAGTAGTACCAGGAAAGGAAAATCAATTCTGAACACTGTATCCGTAATGAATCGCCAAGTTCCGTACCAGGACCTTGAACAGCTCGGTGCCTGTACTGAACAGCAACTTGAAAATCCACATGTTCAGACAGGTGTTCAGCATTGAATTTGGCTATCCTGGTACTGAACACCGTAGTGTAGGAATACGCCCTTACACACAAGCCAGTCCCTGCCAGCACAAAGTACCAGTGCAGCTTTACCGCTGCCGACGCCTCTTGGTGGTTCCTCTCCCAGCCTTCCAAGACTCGGCAAAGTCCCGAGTAAGCCTCGTGAACTGGAGGCAAGCCGACTGGGCAAGCCCCGCAACGGATTCCTCAAACTCGGCGCAGACACTCTCAGCCCAGTCCTGCATGACATCCTCGAAATCAGCACAAGCCTCCTCCAACACTGCCGCACTCAGCTCGTCTGCCCTCATTGCATCGTCTGGCCTCAAAACATCCTCTGCCTCCGCTGGCGAAAGGGCTGACATCTCCCTCCAACGCCATACGAATTCCCGCTTCCTTCCCCGCCCAGCCAGCCCGCCAGGCCCAGCCATCAGCCTGCCCGCTGCCCCATTGGGCCCATGAGACCCGCGAGACCCACCGGGCCCTGCCATCTGCCTGCCCGCTGCCCCATCAGGCCTGTCGCTTCGGGTGGAGGGAGAAAGCAGCCGGTCGCATGGAGCAGATGGGGGACATGCAGTGGAGCGCAGCGGCTGCGACGACTGGTTTGACCGGCCCCGTCCCAGAGAAGTCACTACTCCTGCTGTGCCTGCTGCTGCTGCTACGCCTGCTGCTGGTGCTGTAGCACGAGTGGTCTGAGCTGCTGTAGCAGAAGTGGTCTGAGCTGCTGTAGCAGAAGTGGTCTGAGCTGCTGTAGCAGGAATGGCAGCTCTGGCGGAATGCAGCAGGAGAGCGGAAGTACGGCCCTGGCTCCGTGACATCACAGGATCCAACAACACAAACCACTCAGGCAGTTCCTGGGGAAGCTGAGCCGTTCGAATCCGACCCGCAAAACTCGAACGGCCAGATCGCTCCATCTGATCCGTCCGTTCCAGCTGATCCCGCAGCTTGTCGTAATTCCCTTTCAGCCGTAGGATCTTGGATTTGATCGCGTGCTGCGAGTGGCGGAAGCCGGGGTGTCGCAGCAGCAGCAGGTGACGCAGCTCTCGGTGGTAATTGGCGCCTCTTATACCGCGTACATTAGAGCCTCTAATACCGCGTACGGCGCCGAACTCAGGGTCGAGCTCCGCGTGAGCCTCGAGGAGCTGCCGAACCTCCGTGTCGGACCAATGCGTTGGCGCCTGAAGCGGTTCGGAGATGGGTTGTAGATGGGTTGTATTGGACTCTAGGAGTTGCCGAGCCTCTGCATCCGACCAATGTGCTGGCGCCTGTAGATGAGCTGTATTGGACTCACGGAGCGATGACGGAAGGGGTTCCGAGCCGGGATGTGCCCTATAAGCTCCCCCGCTATAAGCTCCCCCGCTATAAGCTCCTCTGCTGTAAGTTCCGCCATGCCCTGCTGCCGTTTCGGCTGACGGAGCGCAGCCTTCGGCCTCGTTGTTTGGCCGATGCGTAAATGGCGGCCGCTGGAGGGATGGGCGAGGGGGCTCTGAGCTAGGGTTAGCTCCACCGTATGCTGCTGCTGCTGCTGGTGCTGGTGCTGCTACTGCTGCTTCGCTAGAAGGTGCGACGTCGGTGCTATTGACATCAGCCGTAGGTTGAATAGACGTAGCCATATCAGCCGTAGCCTGATCTGATAAAGCCATGTCACCAGCGGCATTTTCTGATAAATCCAATTCAGGCGTCGCCTGATCAGATAAAGCGAACTCCACCGCACGTTCCGCGACTGGGGTTTGGGGACTACTAGTAGTGGGCGTCGCGGCCTCGGACTTAATCTGCATGATTTAGTCTGAGCAGTCTGAGCAGTTGGAGCAACCTGAGAAGTATGAGCAATAGCAGTCGGAGCAGTCTGAGCACTCTGAGCAGTCGGAGCAGGACGATAGTGATCCGTTAGCGCATGCGGCACGAGGTGCTTGAGAGTTTGCGACCTAAGTCGGGCTGAGAGTAGCGTTTCTGGCGTTAGTCGGCTAACAGTAGCAATTCTAGTCTTAGTCGGCTAAGAGGGTGCGATTTTGGTCTCAGTCAGCTCCTGGCATCCAGTGGGTGACGAGTGTGGGATGTCGTACAGTTGCGAACAGCAGTCGCTCGCGACTGTTTCGCATTTCGACTCTCGCCACGGTTTGTCGAGAGACTGCGCCAGGTTTGGTTACCAAAATTAGCCAACCAATCACTACATCCCAAAAACCAAAAATTGCCGAAACGTGGGGCAAGGAACGATCCCCCCCACGCACGGTGCTGAGCCGTCCACTCCCCATGCTGTGCATTGTTTAGAGGTACAGAACAGTAAAGTCGAACCTCGGGTTCGAGAGATTCGTGATGGTGAATCGACTTGATGTATGTAGTCTTGTTCGCTAGAATCACTTTCCGAACCTTGCTGGCTTCGCCGTTCAACCACTGCAAATACCTTCTATGCCTTACTTCACCGCTCTTTAGGTTTTCAGAATGATCTGCACCCAGGTCGATTTCATCTAAATGTGCTATATGTACCCCGTCTTACAGAACATTTTAGTACGGTACATCGTGGTTCCCTTGCCAATTGAAGTTTCAAAACCTCGAACCAATCCATCACTTACCATAACCATCCCTCATACCCCCTTCAACCGTACAAATCTTTCTAGAACACGAGGAAACCCTTTCAACCGCATTCGGTCGAAACTTACTTTAACCGCGTTAAACCGCACTCAGCTGCGTTCAGACCGTACGTAACAGTTGAGGTATGCAACTAGAAATGAACCTCCTGAAGTATTCGGTTTCGAACAGTGAGCAATGCTTGCCTAGTCTTGGGGGTTGCAACCGAAATCGATTCTCCTAAACGCCTTAGTTAGTTCGAGTATTCGAGCCTTCCTTCTCCCAGAGGAAGGCGATCCCGCTCTGACCGAATTATGGAACCCGAATTTGATTCCCGGAACCATGGGGACCACGAAATCATGGAGCCCAAATTTGACTCGCGGTCCCCAAGCCCTAGTTTCCCAACGGGAGTCCAGGACGTTCCTATCCTAGTCTCGCGATATTATCATGAAGCCACCGCGGCTGACGACGACGATGATATCGATGGCACGGACCTCGGTGTTTCAACCAGAACGGCTGTCGACCGTCGCAGAACAGACGGCCGTCGCAGAGCAGACGGCCGTCGCAGAGCAGACGACCGTCGCACAGCAGACGGCTCCCGAGTGATAAACGGCGCGCGACCGCACTGGTCTGACTCCGAGGTCATGCAGCTCGTTCGGGCGTTCGTGGAGCTCGAGCGCGAATACGACGTCAGACGCTCCATTCACGGCGTGATTCACGGAACTAACTACTACAATGAGCTACATTTCCTGCTCTTACATAAGCATCCCGATTTCCGCCACTCGCAGGCTGCCGTTAAATCGAAGCACCAGCGCATGAAGGATAAGTTCTACCGGCTGCAGGACCGGCTGGAACGGTCGGCCGTTAGTCGGACCGGTAGACGGCCGGACCCGTTGCCGGAGTGGTATGTGCTGATGGGTCCGGTGATGGAGAGAGACGTGCGCAACTGGCGGCCAGAGGCTCGCCAAGTGCTGGCGTCGAGCTTGAGAGGTACGAGGGCTTGCCTGTTGTGCTTAGGATATACTTTAGATTCTTGATGGGAGGCTCGCCCAGCTATGGCGTCGAACATGAGAGGTACGATCAAGAGGTGCGATCAAGAGGTTGATGCGAGAGGGACGTGAGCGGGGGGGGGGGAAGGGGGGGAGTCTTTTTCTGTTCTTAAAAGCGTTAATGGAAAAATCTCAGTTGTGTCTTGACTCGCGATGGACCGTTGAACTCATATCCCCTGCTCCCTATCCTATGTCTTCCATTCTCAAGTTATATAGCAGCAGCAGCAGCACCAAAGGAAGAGATTGCGACTCATATCCCTCGCCCCCTATCCCGTATCTTCCCTTTACAGGTCATTTGGCAGCAGCAGCAACAGCAGGAGCAGCAGCAGCAGAGGATGAGCTGGCACTAGGCACTACAAGCTACAGTGACTTGCTTCTATTGAATGGCACTCCAGCCTATGCATTCCCGGCTCTGCCAAGCCCGCCCAATGCAGCAGACCCGAGCACGCTCCAGCTTGTGGCTCCAACACCCTCCACCGCTCGAGAGCCATCAGCAGTGTATGCACCATCCACAGCTGCTATAGCTGCTGCACCAGCCTCAGCTGCTCGACAGCCATCATCAGTGTATGGGCCATCTACACCTGCTGCAGCAACCACAGCTGCTGCACCGACCACAGCTGCTGCACCGACCACAGCTGCTGCACGATCCCAAACGGCTGCAGCACCAAAGACAGCTTCTGGCCCATTCACAGCTGCCGGCTCAACGACTCCAGCACCATCCGTAGCGGTTCCAAAGACAGCAGCAGCAGCACCAGCAGCTACTGCCGCAGCACCAGCTACCGCAGCAGCATCAGCAGTCCCCGCTCCCCTCCCTGTCGTCCCTGTCGTCCCTGCAGCCCCTGCTGTGGCAGCTGACGCGTCAGGGGGTATCTACCTGCAGTCGCTGCGGGCCGCCACCAATCCACGCTCTGCTCGAGGCGGAAGGCTGATGTCTCCCCCTTCTACTCAAAACGGGAGGCACATGCCCTCCCCTTTTGCTGCTCCGGATGGTTTGCGGATGTCCTCCCCTTCTGCTGCTCGAGGCGATCGGCTCATACCCCCCCCTTACACTCAAAATGGTCATTATGAGAGGCACTCGTTCTCCCCTTCTGCTGCTCGGGGTGAGGGACTGGTCTCTCCTCCCCCTGCTCGCCCTGATCGACGCTTGTCGCCCTCTTCTGCCCGACAAGGGAGGCGGGTGGCAGCAGTAGCTGCTGGTGGGGCTGCAGGGTGGAGGGGCAGGCGGGGGTGGGCATGGCGAGAGAGGGGCGAGTTTGCAGCAGATCCCGAGTCTGGCAGTGCACGCATGGTGCCTGGAAGGGAAGATCACATGGCTGGCAGAGTGGATGACTTCATGGATGTCAATGCAGACCAGATGGGTGCTGAGAGCCTGAGTGATGTGATGGAGGAGGCGGTGGAGAGTGCGTGTGCGGAGTTTGAGGGACTTTTGTCGGAGATGGCAGAAAGGGCGTTCTTCCAGTTCAGGAGAGATGTGAGAGAGTTTGCCGAGGCGTGGCTGGCCGGGCAGGAGAATAAGAGGAGAAGGTACTGACTGGGGCAGCGAGAGTGAGTGGGTTTGGGGTGATATACCTCAGCGTGGAGATCCCACTTGGCGTGCTTCCAGTTCAGGAGCGCTGCAAGGGAGTTGGCTGAGGCATGGAAAGCAGGGCAAGAGAAAAAGAGGAGGTAGTGATATAGTTGTGATAAAAACGTACTTAAGAGCTACTGGAGGGAGCGAAATTTTCGACAAGTACACAGTTCATCTTGCAGTGCGGCAACCAAAGTGCAATCAAAATCGCGCACCAGCCTGGCGGTGCCAACAGGACGAAACACATTTCCCTACGATATTTCTTCGTCGATAAGGGGAGGATGCGATTGGTCTACTGCTCGACCAATGAAATGGGCGCATTTTTTCATCACGTCAGAAGTTCCAATACTGCAACGAGCTCTGCGGAATCATCAAGAAGTGACACTATCGGACTTCCATAAATGAAGGGGAGGAGAGTGGTGTGATAAATTCGTATTGAGACATGACCTCAGAGGAGTGTGTAGTGCAGTCTGTTAAATTATATATTTTTATCAAACAGTGAAATTGATGAATAGAGAGAGAGAGTACACAAACATATACCTAACAGTTGTACTCTCTAGAAGATGACCCTATACAGTCTATACAAGCATGATAACTAAACATGTTTGACACACCCCCTGGACTGCATAGGGGAATGTTCTAGACAAGCAGCTCAGGGTGGCACTACTAGTCCAGCCTCTGAGACAAGGGTCTAAAAGACCAGTCAGAAGGAGTACAGGCAAGGCAAGAACTAGTACAGGGCGGCACTACTAGTCCAACCACTGTAAGAGGACACAAGTCCAGTCTGAGTGTACACACAGATATATATAGGGCAGTACAAAGTCAAGGCCCGAGTAAGTGAGAGACTACAGGAACCAGACCAAGCTGTACACAGTGCCGCTGATGATCTTTAGGCGCAAGCGCCTTCGTAAAGATATCAGCTGTGTTGGCACCGGAGGCTAAGTGTACTACGCGAGCCTGGCGACGCTGCTGTAGCTCACGCAGGAGGAAGTACCGCAGCTGGATGTGCTTCGCTCTGCCCTCGAGTCGAGGCTCCTAACACAGGAGGATCATGGCCCTGTTGTCAGCGTACAGGACCGGGGCAGAGCTAGGCCGCTCACCTAAGTCAGTGAGCAAGAAGGTCAGCCAGCGGAGCTCCTGTGCCGCCATGGCACCGGCGTAGATCTCAGCCTCACAGCTGGACTGGGCAACAGACGAGGAGCGGGTAGCTCTCCACGAGACAGCACCTGAGCCAAGGCTAAAGCAGTAGCCCTGGGAAGACCTGAGCGTCTCGGCGTCGTCTGCCCAAGAAGCGTCTGTGTGTCCAGTAAGGACCACTGGCCTGCGTCCGCCTAGCACTAACCCCATGCCCGATGTACTTGCAAGATAACGCAAAACCCTCTTAGCGGCAGACCAGTGCTGAGGTCGGTGTCTGCCTGTGGCCACGAAACGAGCCAGGATGCTGAGAGGGTATGCGAGATCTGGGCGAGTGCAAGTCATCAGGTACATGAGGCAACCCACTAGCTCAGCGTAAGGACCACTGGGATCTACCGACTCCTCAGGAACTGGAGCGGAGAGTCTGTGGTCCAGAGGAAGAGGGGTGGGCTGTGCGGAGGAGAACTGAAGGCCGAACCTCTGAAGGACCTCGCGCACCAAGTGTGACTGAGTCAGGGTGATGGTGCGCGCGGCTCTGTCCCTGGAGATCTGCAAGCCAAGGTAACGGCGCAGCTCTCCAAGGTCAGTGCAGGTGTGTCTCTTCAGCAGCTCTGCCTTCACGGAGGCCAGTGCGTCCCTGTCAGCAGTGGCAAAGACCAGGTCGTCTACGTAGACGAGGATGTAGAACGGAGTCGAGCCAGCACGAACGAAGAGCGAGGGGTCTGCAGAGGACGGAAAGAACTGCAGGTCAGCAAGGGTAGCACGCAAAGTGTCGTGCCACTCACGAGGCGCCTGGCGCAGGCCGTAGACTGGCCGCCGCAGAAGCCACTGGGTCCCAGGGGGGAAGGTGCCAGTAAAGCCCTGAGGGCGACGCAGGTAGACCTGCTCGTGAAGGCTGCCCTGAAGAAAGGCAGTGGAGAAGTCGAGGGAGTGAAGCTCGTAGTCACGCTGAGCCGCTACGTGTAGCAGCACCCGAAGAGTAGTCATCTTCGGGGTAGGAGCGAAAGTCTGAAAGAAGTCCACCCCCTCGCGCTGACTGAAGCCTCTAGCCACGTAGCGCGCCTTGAACACAGGCGGCTCTCCAGGAGGGCGCTTCACCTTGAAGAGCCAACGGCCATCGACCACGTTCACCCCAGGTGGGGGAACTGCGTCGACGAAGGTGCCGGTGGATCTCCAAGATGCCATCTCCTGCTCCATGGCAGCTATCCACTGAGAGGCCCAGGGTCCCGAAACCGCCTCAGCGTAAGTACGAGGGGTCGGGATGTCGAAAGCGTCTGGGTCACCCTCAGGGACTAGCAGCATGGAACAGAGATGGGGAGCAGCCTCGGACAGGAAAGCAAGCTCAAACTGGCGGTCCTCCAGGACGTCACTGCCGAGGGCAGGAGCACCCCCGACAGACGGAGGACAGGCAGGGTGAGAGACCAGAGCGGTGGCGTAGTCAAGGCGGCGGGTAGAGGCGAAGTCAGCGACCGCAGCGACGAGGGCGTCAAGACTCGACACGGGAACAGACGGGTCGGTAACGAGAGAGGCAAGGACCCGAGGAACAAGAGGACGAGCGGCACGAAAGGAGTCGGACAGAGGAGGAGACGCAACGACAAGAGAAGACGGAGGAGGAGACGGGAGGAGGGGAGGTCGAGACGCGTGGGAACGGAGCAACATAGGGTGAGAGCGCGGGACAGGGGAGACAGGACGAGCACGAGAGGGGCGGCGAGACCAGACGTGTGAGGGCGGCGTCGGGTCAGGAGACAGAGGAGGGGACACAGGAGGGGAACGAGGGGGAAGACGAGCCGGGGACGAGTCTGGCAGAGGGAACACGGGGCCGTAGACGGGAAGAGGGGGAGACGGCAGGAGAGGAACAGGCGCAGGGTCAGGAGACGGAAGGCCGAGCAGACGGAGGGCGGACACAGGCGGGGACTGCTGCTGCGGCGACACAACACCAACACCAGGGCCACAAGCTGCGCGACGGCTACCTCCCGAACCGTCCACACCTGCACCCCCAGAAGGGACACCCCCAGAGTCCACAAACGGCGGCAGCGACGACAGCGGCGGCGGCGGCGGCGGCTGCAGCGACGGCTGCGACGGCGGCGGCGGCGGAGACGACGGCTGCAACGGCGGCGGCGGTGGAGACGACGGATGCAGCAGCTGCGGCGACGGCGGCTGCGGAGGCGGTGGAGGAGGAGACACCGGGGGAGGGACAGACGGCGAGGACTGCGCCGGAGGACTACCAGAGTCAGAAGACTCGTCGACCGGGACGACCGACGGGAGGGGGGTGACGTGAGACACACCAGAGGGGGCCGGACGGGGGGGCGGGGGGGGGGAGGGGCAGGGACCACCAGGGAGGGAGGAACCAGGAAAAGGGGGGGAGTAACCGGGGGACCACGGTGGGGAAAGCGGCGGTAGAAGGAGACGGACTCGTCAAAGGTGACGTCGCGAGAGTGAAAGAAGCGGTGAGACGGCGGGTGGTAGAAGTGCCAGTCGGACGCGTCAAGGGGGAAACCGAGGAAGACGCAGGGGAGGGTGCGGGCAGTGAGCTTGTCCGTGCCAGAGGCACGAACGTGAGCAAGGCAGCCCCAGACGCGGAACGCAGACGCGTCACCAGGGGACCCGGTCCACAGAAGGGTCGGCGAAACCTGCGGCCGCTGGGGGTGCGGCCACAGGTTAAGCTGGTGAGCGGCGTAGCGCACGGCGAACGGCCACAGAAAATGGGGTGCACCGGCGTGGATCATGGAGGTGCGAGCCACCTCCATGACCAAACCGATGCGTCGCTCAGCGACCCCATTCTGCTGCGGGGAGTCCGGCAGGGTAAACGTCTGGGTGATGCCCTCCGCACGACAGAAGCGACCAAGGACACCTGAGGCAAACTCGCCACCCCGGTCGGAGTGAAGGCGCAAGGCAGGGAGACCGCGGTGGACACGAGCAGAGACAAGCCAGGGGATGAGAACGTCAGGCACGTCGGCCTTCCGCTCCAGGGGGAAGACGGTGGTGTAGCGCGTGAAGTCGTCGACAAGCACTAGGAAGAAGCGCTCGCGACGCGGCCCATGGACCGGGGCTGGGCCCCAGACGTCCATGTGCAGAGTCTGCAGTGGTGCGGTGGTAGGGGGAAAAGAGGAGGAGTGAGGGGCACGGCGGAGCCGGCCCTCGACACAAGGCGTGCACGGTGGGGCGGGGGAGGAGGGAAACTCGGGGAACGAACCGGGGAGACCAAGGACGAGACCGTGCTGGGACATGTGACGCAGACGCGGGAGCGCAGGGTGACCTAGGCGGTGGTGCCAAAGGAGAGTCGGGTGAGTGAGGGACCGACAGGAGCAGGCAGCAGCAACCTGGGTAGACGCAGCCACCTGAGGGAGCGCTCCAGCCGGGGGGGTCACGGTGTCCAGAGTGAACAGGCCGGACACTGGGTCCCGGGGGAACGTGGACAGGGGGGCACCAGTGGCGGCCTCGGTACAGACAGCATACCGCTCGTGACCAGGGAACGTAGTGGTGACGCCAAGGTCCTGGAGGCAGCCGACACCAACTAGGTTCCTGGAGAACGAGGGGATATGCAGACCTGTGAGAGTGCCCGAAGGAACCGCCGGACAGGGAAGGGAGGTGGAACTGCGGGCAACGACGGGACCACCGGAGGGGTCAGCAAGAGTAACTGCAGCGGGAACAGGCAGCGGCGTCAGCGTCGTGGAGTCGCGGAAGAAACACCGGGAGGCGCCAGAGTCCAAGGTGAAGGAAAGCGCAGCAGTCGCGCGAGGCAGCAGTGAAGCGGTGGAAGCACCAAGGCTAAGCAAAGCAGGAGATCCTACGCCTGACGCAGCAGGGGAGTCTACGCTAGGCACCGCTACACTAGGCAACACGGGGTAATAAGAGGGAAGCACACTAGAGTCATCAGCATACATCACATGCAAGGCCGCTACAATGGCATCCATGTCCAAGTCAAAAATCCTAATGCTACGCCTAAGCAAGCTGTGCCAGTCCGGGAGGTCGGGCGCCGGGCCAAAGCGCTGGCGGAACAGGTCGTCCAGGCGACGAAAACAGCGAGGAGTAGAATGACCGATCTTACCGCAAACGAAGCCGCGGCGAGGACCGGTCTGGATCTGGTACTGACAGGGCCCGCCTCCAGAACCACCACCCGGTGCACCACCACGCGCACGACCACCACCAGCTCCAGGCCACCCAGGTGGGAGAGTACTCGCCTGCCTCGTCTGCGGCGGCTGCTGCGGCTGCTGCGAAGGCTGCGGCTGCGGCGACTGCTGCTGCTGCGGCTGCTGCAACTGTGGAGGCAGCGGGGCAGCTGGACCGGGCAGGGTCCCCACGTCCGCACCGGCACCGGACGACCCGCCTCCACCACTACCCCCACCCGCACCCCCGCCGCCTCCGCCGCTCCCAACCTTGGGGCGGCGGCCCTTCGCCGAGCGGGACTGCACTGCAGCAGCAGTCTCAGCCACAGCGACAGAGCCGTCGGAGAAGGTACACTGAGCGGGGGCACAACCCTGAAAGATAGGGACCGGTACTGTACCGCTCGCCAGGGCTATGGAGCGGTGACGAGTCTCTATGGCAGTCAGGGTGTCAACAAAGTCGGTGAGGGTGAGAGCAGCAGGGTGGATGCTAAGGAACTGGTCGCGGGCGGCGGCAAGGCGGTCAGGTAGGCGGGTGGCAAGGAGGTAGAGGGTAGAGGTCATGGGAGGCTGGTGGACTCTAAGCTGAGCATCAGTGCAGGCAGCGCGCCAGGCCTCATCGATCGAGCGCAGGTGGGCAGCGAGGTCAGAGACAGTGGGGAAAGACGTCAGGTCAGGAAAGAGCAGGGGAAGGATCAGGCGACCCACTGAGGCAGCAGGAGGGGTAGAATAGCGCTTGATGACAGCATCGAGGTAGGCCTGGGCGGTAGGAATGGTTCTAAAGCGAGGGCGCTCAGTGGGGGGGAGGGCATTGCTAATGGCGAGCTGAGCAAGGGCATCGCGGGAAAGCCAGACAGAGCGGGCAAGGGCAGCAGCGGCAGTGGACTCGCGCTCAGCGGGCGTGGGATCAGCGGGCAGCACAGCAGGGGGGTCAGGGCAGGGGAGCATACCGTCTAGGTGTGCAGAAAGCGGGTAGCCGTCCTGCCGCTGGCCAGTGAGGTGGCGGCGAAGGTCAGCCAACCACGCCTCGAACTCCAGAGGCTGACCCTCAACATCAAAACGAAGCTCAGCAGCCATGAGGGGCAGTGGAGGACAGTGCAGTGCGGTGCAGTGCGATGCAGAGCGGTGCAGTGCGGTCCAGTGCGGTGCAGTGCGATGCAGTGCGGTGCAGTGCGGTCCAGTGCGGTGCAGTGCGGTTAGTGCGATCCAGGGAGGTGCAATGCGATGCAAGGCGGGGCAGGAGAGTGGAGGAGGGTGCAAAGTGGTGCGGGGAACGGGGGACAGTACCAGGAAGTATGGAAGGCCGGGGCAGGTGCGTCGGGGCCGGGCAGGCACGACAAGGCCGGGCGGCGGCGACGGGGCCGGGCGGCTGCGACGGGGCCGGGCGGCGGCGACGGGGCCGGGCGGCAGCGACAAGGCCGGGCGGCTGCGACGTGGCTGGGCGGCTGCGACGGGGCCGGGCGGCTGCGACGGGGCCGGGCGGCAGGGACGAGGCCGGGCCGGACACAGCAGGGCCGGGCAGGGGCGACGGGGCCGGGCGGCTGCGACGTGGCCGGGCGGCTGCGACGTGGCCGGGCGGCTGCGACGGGGCCGGGCGGCTGCGACGGGGCCGGGCGGCAGGGACGGGGCCCGGGCAGGCCACAGCAGGGCCGGGCAGGGGCGACGGGGCCGGGCGGGCGAGCAGGGGCCGGGCAGGTGCGACAGGGGCCGGGCAGCCGCGACAGGGGCCGGGCGGGCGCCACGCGGCCGATAGGCCGCGACGGGGCCGAGCAGGGGCGACGGGGCCGAGCAGGGGCGACGGGGCCGAGCAGGGGCGACGGGGCCGAGCAGGGGCGACGGGGATGGGTAGGGGCGCGACGGGGCCTGGAGGGGCGTTACCAAGCCCAGGTAGGGGCGCGACGGGGCCTGGGGGGAGCGCAATGGGTCCCAGGAGGGGCGCTACGGGGCCTGGGAGGAGCGCGACTGGGCTAGGGAGGGGCGCGACGGGGCCTGGGAGGAGCGCAATGGGGCCCAGGAGGGGCGCTACGGGGCCTGGGAGGAGCGCGACGGGGCCCTGGAGGGGCGCTACCAGGCCCTGGAAGGGGCGCGACGGGGCCTGGAGGGGCGCTACGAAGCCCTGAAAGGGGCGCGACGGGGCCTGGAGGGGCGCTACGAAGCCCGGGAAGGGGCGCGACGGGGCCTGGGAGGAGCGCAAAGGGGCCCAGGAGGGGCGCTACGGGGCCTGGGAGGAGCGCGACTGGGCTAGGGAGGGGCGCGACGGGGCCTGGGAGGAGCGCAATGGGGCCCAGGAGGGGCGCTACGGGGCCTGGGAGGAGCGCGACGGGGCCCTGGAGGGGCGCTACCAGGCCCTGGAAGGGGCGCGACGGGGCCTGGAGGGGCGCTACGAAGCCCTGAAAGGGGCGCGACGGGGCCTGGAGGGGCGCTACAAGGCCTGGGAGGAGCGCGACGGGGCCCAGAAAGGGGCGCAACGGGGCTAGGGAGGGTCGCGACGGGGCTAGGGAGGGTCGCGACGGGGCTAGGAGCACGACGGGGCCCAGCTAGGGGGCGAGCGGAAGCGTGAGGGGGGGGGGGGGGGGGGGGATCCTACCTACGCGTGATACCATATCAAACAGTGAAATTGATGAATAGAGAGAGAGAGTACACAAACATATACCTAACAGTTGTACTCTCTAGAAGATGACCCTATACAGTCTATACAAGCATGATAACTAAACATGTTTGACAATTTTGTTATATAATTGGTAGGCTTGGTAGGTCTTATTGCAACCAACTGTAGAGGGTACAACCCCCCTCCTTGTATGCCTCTCTCTTTTATTCTCCCCCTCTTTTCTCTCGTCAACTCTCTCCTGAAATAACTTGTCCAATGTTGTAGAAGACTAAGTATAAAACTGCAAATATGAACACTTGGAAACAGGGCCCTAGATATCAGCCTTTTTACGCTGATTCAGCCTTTTTTCAGACATTTTGTTGGTACTAAGGCTGAACACTCAGCCTTTTTTGTTTAGTGGGCCCTGAAAAATCAGCCTTTTTATTTGTGTGTTGCCTGAAATTTCAGCCTTTCTTTTACGGTGTACGCTGAAGCATCAGCGTATGTATGTGGGGGGGCGCTGAAACCGAGAACAGCGTCATTTGCCCAACTCCCCCGCCCAGTCAGACACACCCACCCACACCCCCAAAAAAATCGGCGAAGTCCTCCGCAGGTAGTCACACCAAACTCAGAACACCCGCATGCCAGAAATTTTTGGCAAAGTCCCCCCGCAACCAGTCACACCGTACCCCACTCCTAACACCGGCAAGACATATTTTTGGCGAAGTCCCCTGCAACCAGTCACAACTCACTCACACCCCTCTCATACCCCCGCAACCGAGGAAGATTTGCCGAGTCTCCACTCCACCCCACAGCCACATACGTACCTCCCTTCTCCCACTTCCCCACAACCAAGAGTACATAGAGTACAGTACTGTATATGGAAAACTCCTCATGCAGACACGTGTCCCCTCCCAGCTGCGTTGGTGTTGTTTGAGGGCGTATTCTTCGCCAGTGGCAGGAAACTTGCCACAAACTTACAGATGCTCACGATCGTCTCCCATCTCTCAGGCTGGAATATCGACCGTAAACAACTCGCCACAAAATGGTCAGCCACATCGGTGAGGAATGCGCCCTGACTCGGTGTGGGCCGGGCACCACGCTGACGCGGAATTACCATAAAAAACCCCGCGATTGAAAGGTAATCATAAAACATTCGCGCATATTCAAGGTTTCTTTCACCCGTTTCCGTCGGTTTCAAATTCTTAGTATCGATGCTTACATCGAAGGTGTTTCGTACTTAGACCGGAAAATTGTCACCGCGCCAGCCAATCATCGGAATGTAAAGTGCGCAGCCAGGACATAACCTCGTTACTGAAAGCCAGCGCTAATCTACAAAGCGCTGCTGAATTTGTGCATCAGACTTTTTCTTCTAGGTAACGCTGATTGATCAGCGATTTTTTTTTTGCCAACACTGAAAGTTCAGCCTTTTTTCCAGGGGCAAGGCTGATGCATCAGCCTAAATTTGGGGAGTGAGGCTGACGAATCATCGTACCCGAAAATGAATCTTAGGCCCTGCTTGGAAATCCTCAAGTGTTGGTCCAGGATCTTTACTGGAATGGTAGCCTATATCAAAGTGGGAACTGAATAATTGAGTAGAGAGAGAGTACAGGTAAATATACTTAACTGTTGTACCCTCTAAGAGATAGCTCTATACAGTCTATGCAAACATAGAAGATACACATGTTTGACACACCCCCTAGACTGCAAAGGGGCAGGTCCTGAACAAGCAGCTCAGGGCGGCACTACTAGTCCAGCCTTTGAGACAAGGGTCCAAATGACAAGTCAGAAGGAGTACAGACAAGGCAAGACCAAGACCAGGGCGGCACTACTAGTCCAACCACTAGGAGAGGACACAAGTCCAGTCTGAGTACACATATAAAAGACAGTACAAAGTCAAGGCCCTAGCAAGTGAGAGGCTACAGGAACTAGACCAAGCTGTACACAGTGCCGCTGATGATCTTTAGGCGCAAGCGCCTTCCTAAAGATATCAGCTGTGTTGGCACCTGAGGCCAAGTGTCCTACGCGAGCCTGGCGTCGCTGCTGCAGCTCGCGTAGGAGGAAGTACCGCAGCTGAATATGCTTCGCTCTGCCCTCGAGTCGAGGCTCCTGACACAGGAGGATCATGGCCCTGTTGTCAGCGAACAGGACTGGGGCAGAGCTAGGCCGCTCACCTAAGTCTGTGAGCAAGAAGGTCAGCCAGCGGAGCTCCTGTGCCGCCATGGCACCAGCGTAGATCTCGGCCTCACAGCTGGACTGGGCAACAGACGAGGAGCGGGTGGCTCTCCACGAGACAGCACCTGAGCCAAGGCTGAAGCAGTAGCCCTGGGTAGACCTGAGTGTCTCGGCGTCGTCTGCCCAAGAAGCATCTGTGTGTCCAGTAAGGACCACTGGCCCACGTCCTCCTAGCACTAACCCCATGCCCGATGTACTAGCAAGATAACGCAAAACCCTCTTAGCGGCAGACCAGTGTTGCGGTCGGTGTCTGCTTGTGGCCACAAAGCGAGCCAGGATGCTTAGAGGGTATGCAAGATCTGGGCGAGTGCAAGTCATCAGGTACATGAGGCAACCCACCAGCTCAGCGTAGGGGCCACTGGGCTCTACCGACTCCTCGGGAACTGGAGCAGAGAGTCTGTGGTCTACAGGCACAGGGGTGGGCTGTGCAGAGGAGAACTGAAAACCGAACCTCTGAAGGACCTGGCGCACCAAGTGTGACTGAGTCAGGGTGATGGTGCGCGCTGCTCTGTCCCTGGAGATCTGCAAGCCAAGGTAACGGCGCAGTTCTCCAAGGTCAGTGCATGTGTGTCTCTTCAGCAGCTCTGCCTTCACTGAGGCCAGTGCGTCCCTGTCTGCTGTGGCAAAGACCAGGTCGTCGACGTAAACAAGGATGTAGAACGGAGTCTGGCCAGCACGAACGAAGAGTGAGGGGTCTACAGAAGACGGAAAGAACTGCAGGTCAGCAAGGGTAGCACGCAGCGTGTCGTGCCACTCACAGGGAGCCTGGCGTAGGCCGTAGACGGGACACCGCAGGAGCCACTGGGTCTCAGGAGGGAAGGTGCCAGTAAAGCCCTGAGGGGGACGCAAGTAGACCTGCTCGTGTAGGCTGCCTTGAAGGAAGGCAGTGGAGAAGTCGAGGGAGTGAAGCTCGTAGTCACGCTGAGCAGCTAGGTGTAACAGAACCCGAAGAGTAGTCATCTTCGGGGTCGGAGCGAAAGTCTGGAAGAAGTCCACCCCCTCACGCTGACTGAAGCCTCTAGCCACGTAGCGCGCCTTGAACACATGCGGCTCTCCAGGAGGGCGCTTCACCTTGAAGAGCCAGCGGCCATCGACTACGTTCACCTCAGGTGGGGGAACTGCGTCGACGAAGGTGCCAGTGGATCTCCAAGATGCCATCTCCTGCTCCATGGCAGCTATCCACTGGGAGGCCCAAGGTCCCGAGGTCGCCTTAGCGGAAATGCGAGGGGTCGGGATGTCGAAAGCGTCTGGGTCACCCTCAGGGACTAGCAGCATGGAGCAGAGATAGGGAGCAGCCTCGGACAAGAAAGCAAGCTCGAACTGGCGGTCCTCCAGGACGTCACTGCCAAGGGCAGGAGCACCCCCGACAGACGGAGGACAGGTTGGGTCAGAGACCAGAGCGGTGGCGTAGTCAAGGCGGCGGGTAGAGGCAAAGTCAGCGACCGCAGCGACAAGAGAGTCAAGACACGAGACCGGAACAGACGGGTCGGTAACGAGAGAGGCGAGGACACGAGGAACAAGAGGACGAGCGGCACGAAGGTAGTCGGACAGAGGAGGAGGTGCAACGGTAAGAGAGGATGGAGGAGGCGACGATAGAAGGGGAGGACGAGACGCGTGAGAACGGAGCAACATAGGATGAGAGCGCGGGACAGGGGAGACAGGACGAGCGCGGGAGGGACGGCGGGACCAGACGTGAGACGGAGGCGTCGAGTCAGGAGACAGAGGAGGGGACACAGGGGGGGAACGAGGGGGAAAATGAGCTGGGGACGAGTCCGGCGGAGGGAACACAGGGCCGTAGACGGGAAGAGGAGGAGACGGCCGGGGAGGAACAGACGCAGGGTCAGGGGACGGAAGGCCGAGCAGGCGAAGGGCTGACATCGGCGGGGACTGCTGCTGCGGCTGCACAACGCCGACACCAGGACCGCAAGCTACTCCTCGGCTACCACCGGCACACTCCATGCCAGCACCCCCAGAGGGAACACCCCCAGGGCCCGAAACCCCCCGAGGACCGGTACCACCACCAGGGCTACCGGGACGAGCACGCACTCCAACGCCAGCACCCCTAGGGGCAACGAACGGGTGCTGCGACGGCGGCGGCGGTGGCGACTGAGGTGACAGCGGCTGCGACAGCAGGGGCGACGGCGGCGGCAGAGGCGATGAAGGAGGGGACACCTGGGGAGGGGCAGCCGGCGAGGACTGCGCCGCAGGACTACCAGAGGCAGAAGACTCCTCAACCGGGACCACCGACGGAAGAGGGGTGACGTGGGACACACCAGAGGGGGCAGGACGGGGAGGGGGAGAAGGAGGGGCAGGGACTACCGGGGAAGGAGTAACCAGGAACAGGGGGGGGGTAACCGGGGGACCGCGGTGTGGGAAGCGACGGTAGAAGGAGACGGACTCGTCAAAGGTGACGTCACGAGAGTGAAAGAAGCGGTGAGACGGCGGGTGGTAGAAGTGCCAGTCGGACGCGTCAAGGGGAAAACCGAGAACAACGCAGGGAAGGGTGCGGGCAGTGAGCTTGTCCGTGCCGGAGGCACGGACGTGAGCAAGGCAGCCCTAGACGTGGAACGCAGCCGCGTCACCAGGAGACCCAGTCCAAAGATGGGTCGGCGAAACCTGCGGCTGCTGGGGGTGCGGCCACAGGTTAAGCTGGTGAGAAGCGTAGCGCACAGCGAACGGCCACAGAAAATGGGGTGCACCGGCATGGATCATGGAGGTGTGAGCCACCTCCATGACCAAACCGATGCGTCGCTCAGCGACCCCATTCTGCTCTGGGGAGTCCGGGAGAGTGAACGTCTGGGTGATGCCCTCCGCACGACAAAAGCGACCAAGGACACTTGAGGCAAACTCGCCACCACGGTCGGAGTGAAGACCAAGACAGGGAGAACTCGGTGGACACGGGCAGAGACAAGCCAGGGGATGAGAGCGTCAGGCACGTCAGCCTTCCGCTCCAGGGGAAAGACCGAGGTGTAGCGAGTGAAGTCGTTGACAAGCACAAGGAAGTAGCGCTCTCGACGCGGCCCATGGACGGGGGCGGGGCCTCAGACGTCCATGTGCAGGGTCTGCAGCGGCGCGGCGGTAGGGGGAAACGAGGAGGAGTGAGGGGCATGGCGAAGCCGACCCTTGACGCAAGGCGTGCAAGGTGGGGCTGGGGAGGAAGGAAAAGCGGGGAGAGAACCAGAGAGACCAAGGACGAGACCGTGCTGGGACATG